TCTGTATGGCATTTCCTTTATTTCTTTTATGAATTCTATTTCATAAAGTTCATAATCAGATTCAATATCACTTTCTACAGGTTCTAGTTCATGCATTTTAAACACTGTTTCAAGTTGTTTTACTTCTTCCTTTTTATTTTTCCTTTTTGGACATTCATTTGCATAATGCCCTTCTTCTTTACATAGCCAACATTTACATGTTTTAGGTTTAGCTTCATTATTTTTCTTCTTTCTAAATGGTCTTCTTTTCTTATAATATCTCTTTCTAGGATTATAATATTTCCTAGGAATGTACTTTCTTCTAGGAATATATCGTCTATATCTTTTATAACCTTTTCTAGGAGCATTTTTCTTTCTCCTATACCTTCTTTTTCCTCCTCTTTTATAATAAGCATATGTTTTGGGTTTACCACTAAAGCATCCCCATTGCATAGGCAAATCTAGCATTTTAGGATCACAACAAATTCTATCTTGATACATAGTTTTCATTTGTCCTTCTAATGCCTTTACTTTACATTTTGCTTCTATATATTCTTTCAAGAATCTTAATCTTCCAGCAATAGTATCGGAAATGTGCTTTCCTCTACTAGGCCATAATCTTTTCATTTCTTCTGACCATACAGGTGATAATTTATTCCAAAAACTATCTTCATAGGCCTTTTTCTCAGCATCAGTTGGTAATTTCTGATACCATTTTTGATATTCACATCCAAATCCAAACCAATAACATATATTACATAACTTAACATTGTCTAAAATATATTTAGCTTTTTCTGTTTCAACTTTTATAACTTCTTCTTTATTACTTGTGTCATCGACACCAAGGAATTCATTAGCAAGTGCTCTTGTGAGCAAATCAATATATTTTTGAGCATTTTCTGCTGTATAGGCAGTAGTGGGTGCACTCCCACCTGCTTCGGTTCTTATTTGTTCCCTTATTCTTTTACCTCTTTCGCTATTCCACCAATTACTTACTACTCCATCTACATGATATTCTAACCAATTTTCAAATGTACTCATAGTACTAAATCTTTCTGTATTAGTTGTTGCAATTATGCTCATGCGGGCATTCCAACCATATAACTCTTTTTCACTATTAAGTAAACATAATACGTCTAATCTAGTATTAGTACTTTGTTCAGGAGTATTAAATCTAGGAATTAAATCATTAGGAACATTCCTACCTGGAGGTATTGCTGCTCTTCTTCTTGCCATTCCTCGAGTTGTTACTCCAGTATATCCTTGATATGGAATTGCTGATGGTCCTGCTTCGCTAGGGGTTGTATCAGCATCTTCTTCATCTTTAGGTTCTCTATCTGGGTTAATCCTTTCATAAGGATCAATTTCTTCTACTTCTTCCATAGCATCATACTCAGTTTCAGAATCACTTGATTCAGCTTCCTGTGTATTAGCCATTTTTAGCTGTTCATATTTTCCTATTATTTCTATAATAGAAATATTATCAGGTTCATGATTAGTTCTCCTGGTATAAACACCATTAACCTTAACCATACTAAATCTTGACCTGGTACTAGCAGTACTATTATTTGACATAACAGATTTATTACTCATTTCTTAGGTTGAGTAAAAACTGGTTTTACTTGGTAATCTAATGGATCACTTTGGTCTGTCATACCAAAGGGTCCTAACCTTGGTTGCATATTAATAGGTGTTTTAGTATTACCACTTCCACTTCCTGGAGTAATTCTAGCTGGTAATCCATTAATAAGGGTTGTTAATGCAGTAAATTCATCAGAACACTGGCATTTAGCTTCTTCAATAGCTGCTTTTACCCATTTCTTAATATCTTCTTCAGAATTTCCTCCTGAAGGAAGATCATCTTTAGTCAGAGTACTTACTTTATAATTTGTAAGTGCATTTTTCACAGCTGTTTCTGTATCAGTAGAAGATAAAGGTTTTATCTTTTTTATCTCATTTTTTATATTTGTTTCAGCAGTAGTAACATCTGAAGTTTTAGCTAACAAAGATAAATCAGGCATACCGTTTATCTTGTTAATTAATTCATTGATTTTAGCAAATAGAGAGTCTTTCTGTTCTCTATTTTTACCACTACCATCTTCTCCTCCTTCAAGGAGTGATAATATATCTTTGCATAGTTTTTCTATTCTAGCAGTTGCCATTTCAAATTTATTATCGGGTGTTGGTCCTGGAGTACTTCCCGGAGGATACCAGGGCCATGGCGTATTTGTTTCTGGTTTTAAACCAAAATTCTTTTCTGAGAATGGGTCTTTTTCTGGTCTTTCTTGTTTCCAGTAAGTATCCCAATATCCAATAATCTGATTTAGCTTTGCATCTTGTGCAGTTATTAGATTTGTTATAGCTGTTAAAGCTAATGTCACAGGTCTTAGCGCTGTACTTACTATTCCTGTAATAAGATTTCTTAATCCTTCCTGGGAAAACCATGAAGGAAATATACTCATAAGTTATCAACTTTAGTTTTTACTTCTGTAAGAGTTTTACCTAGAACTTTTAATTCTTCAAGTTCTATTTTTACCTCATGCATTTCTTTTTCTATTCGTAACATAGCTAAATGGATTTCTTCTAATTCCTTTTTGAGCATATAAAGAGTTTCGAGAGATGGGCCTTTAGAGTCCATCAGTTTTAGCCTTAATTTGTTTAACCAAAGAATATAAACTATCATTTAACTCTTTATTTCTCCATTCTTTAGCTGTTGATTCCTTTGCCATATCTGACAAATCTATTTTAGGTATATCATCCTTTAGAGCAATTTTGCTCCAATTAGGATCATCAAGTATATCTGTTTTTGATACTAGATTACTAGTATCACATTCTTTGATATCCTCTTTAAGTGCGATCTTTTTCCAGTTTGCATCATTTATTATATCATCTTTCTTGACTAGGTTAGTCAAATCTATGTCTGATTTTCTAGCAAACTTTTCCCATTCTTCTGCAGATGGAATTCTGCTTGTATTTGTATCTATATTTGTGATTTTATTTTTTATATCTTCAGGAAACTTAATTTCCTTATTATCAATTTTATCTTTTATTTCTTTACAACATGTTTTAGGCATCATGTTGTCTTTTATATGTTTAATATCATCTGCAAGTGTAGATCCTTCATCTGCACTTTTATTACTATCTTTAATTAGTTTTTTAATTTCTTCTTTGTTGGCATCATCGTTATCGATGATTTCTTTTTTGAATGTTTCTAAATCGGTTGTACTGATATTCTTTTTAGCCAATATTTTATTTAATTTAGACATGATGTCTGCCATCTTTTTATCATTGATTTCATCAATCCTGTTAATGATTCTTTTCTGATTTTGGATTATTTTCTTAAAATCTCCTTCATTACTATTCTTAGTTGTTAATTCTTCATAAATGTCGTCAAGTAACTTTTTGTTAGTTGCAATATTATTGTTTATAGATCTTCTATCTTCTTCATGTGATTCTTTAATTTCTACTGTTTGGTCATCGACCATTTCCTTGATTTTAGCACATGAACATCCTTTTCCGGTGTTACTATCAGGAGTTTTATCGTCTTTGTCATCTGGTTTATTATTCTCTTTACATGGTTTTAATCTATTTAATACATTTTGTAAATCTGTCTCAGTTAAATGAGGCTTGTTGCTAGCTTGTCTTTCTTTTATTATTACTTCCATGGCATTTTTAGCCCAATATAGATCTTTATTATCTACTACAGGCCATTCATAGCATTTAGAACTTGTAGGATTAGCTTGATCAGAATAAAATCTCTTTAAATTTCCTTCTAATGTAGTTATCATAGCTTGAATTTTATCACAACTACATCCATTGCTAGGCGCAGGAGTAGGAGTGGGAGTAGGTGTTGGGACAGGTGGCATTGGAGGTCCTGTACCTCCTCCACCATCACCATAATTTTTATGACAACCTAATTCCATCCAGTCAGCTCCGCTCCAAGCTCGAAGCTTTATATATCCTATAGGTCTACCGTTTATATAGTGTTCATAATCTCTAGTTCCCTGATTTCCAGGGAATTCAACTTTATCAACTTCGCCATTAGTATAATAAAATTCAATTTGACTATGGCCTTCTCCCCAGATGTGAAAACTATTTCTGGTTCGTACTTTACTAACTTTTCTTCCATTAATATCAATTCTAAATGATTCTGGGATTCCCGGTCTCCAGAAATCACCATTTGTTTGTACCCAATTACCATTTTCAAAAGTGGCTCTCCAGCCAATAGCTCCTTGTCCTCTACGAGAACCTTCATGTTCTCCAAACCATTGTATAAGTCTAAGATTATCTCCAAATTGTTCTTTAGGTCTAGCATCACCATTTTGACCAAAGACATATATATTATAATCATTTCTACTCATTTGTTAAATAATTTCCAAACGATTAT